CAATTGTAAAGCATGTATAAAGGAAATATTTAGAATAAAGCCAATATATAAACTTCCTTTCCGTATAGACGTATTTACGTCAAATTCTCCGGAACCGTGGTTCCACTGACAACTTTTTACCGTGGGATCTCCGAAACTTAATTTTTATGAATCCTAGATGACAGAAAAAGTCTAGAAATCCGGTGGTACTAATTGTAATATACTGTCGTTTGAAAGAATTGATTGTGTGGATAAAGTCTGCGCTTCTGGAGTGTTAAAAGATCGCTGTTGGTTGGATTGATATCCCTCGAGAACGCTCGTGAAATGGGGGTGGGGGGAGTCCGAAGAAATTGGGGCACATTTTGGACCGTTGCCCTCCCATTCTTATATCGATTGATCCCTCTTCAGTCCTATACAAATTCCGACAGGAAACCAACCCTCAGGTCGACGGAAGAAGCAGCCATCCCCAAAGGCTTGAGGCGCGTTCAGTGGGGGGGAAGAGTGCATTATACTTTTCAGGAAGACTTTGTCGTATGACCTTGAAAATACTGCTCTAAAGGAATGTTGCAATGTGTCAGCTTCTAATCAGGATGTGGAGGCGTAAAATTAATGCTGAATGCTGTCTGTCTATCCAAATATTTCATCCCTCTTAATGGATTTACATAAAATTTGGTATAGGAGGACTACGTTGAAAGTTGTTGATCGAACTGAATTTTTGACTCTTATCAGACTGCTAGAATGCCTACTTTGCATTAAGATCAAATAGAGTTTTAGTTGAATGTCTCAGAAATACGAACTATCTTAATGACAGCCAGTTAATTTAAGTTAAGATTGCAACATTGGATTTTTTTAAGATCCATTCTGTGGGGAGTGAGAGTTATTTTTATTTATTTAGTGTTCTGTCTGACGACAGGTCCATATGAACAGGATCCTTCCATCCTTTTCTCGGACTGGGACCTGTTCATATACGTTCTTGGCAGATGATCCAGAAGTGGTTTGCCATTGCCTTCTTCTGTGTGTGAATGGAGTAATTGTTGGGATGCCCCGGAGGAAAACTCCGTGTTGCCTAGACCACGGTCTTGCCCAACACAAGTTATAAATTCGGGCATCGCCGGGAATCGAACCCGAGACCCCCAGGATTACAAGGCCAGCGTTCTGACCGCTAGACCACCTCATCTTATTATTATTTAGTGTTCTGTCTGACGACAGGTCCATATGAACAGGATCCTTCCATCCTTTTCTCGGACTGGGACCTGTTCATATACGTTCTTGGCAGATGATCCAGAAGTGGTTTGCCATTGCCTTCTTCTGTGTGTGAATTGAGTAATTGTTGGGATGCCACAGAGGAAAACTCCGTGTTGCCTAGACCACGGCCTTGCCCAACACAAGTTATAAATTCGGGCACCGCCGGGAATCGAACCCGAGACCCCAGGAGAGTAAGAAATCAAAATTGTATTCGGTAACACATGAAGAGTAGTTTAATTCAGTTTAAAACACTTGTCCTCACGTTTTTTGTGTGGGTGTGAAATATGGTAATAAACGTTCGGGATTGATGAAAGTTGGAAAAAATTTTGACTGCCTGAGCAACTGTCAGATTCTCAGAAAAACAATATGGCATGACTTTCATACTGATATTTATGAAAATATTATTATGCGAAGCAACTATTGCTGTATGTTCTTGGGAGACTGCCGAATATGCAGAGAGATACTTTCCCGGCTGGTCGCGTGTGCTCTGAGGTGTGCTAACAGACCGCCCAAACGTTTTGACGTGCGTAGGTCCAAGATGTACGAGTATATCGATTGTTAGCGAGTCATTAGCGCAGCTTAATCGATTTGTACCCTGAACGCTGGCCAGTTGCGTGTCTCGTGGGGAGGGCAGAACACCAGGGGGATAGACCAGGTTAAAGAATTCGGATGATTTCATCGCAATTACGAAGTTTCGAGGCTCACAGACGGAAAGAGGGATTCAGTTATTGCGGTCAGCATCAAATCCCAGCGAATAATTGTTAAGAACTCTAGCCATTTACTTACGTGGGACACTTTGTACGAATTTCTTCATCGTTTTCAATCGTGCTACATGCCCAGCTCAACCAGTGATACTTATAAACATTATCTCTGTCATACCAGGTGTCGTCCTTATCATATTTGCCTGTATAACGGGCAAGTGTTCCTCGTTTGGTAATCGTTTGCTGTTTTGGGATTTTGTGTCATATGGGATAATATTTATGACTATGTGTATTTATTTTTATTATTTTTATTTAGTGTTCTGTCTGACGACAGGTCCATATGAACAGGATCCTTCCATCCTTTTCTCGGACTGGGACCTGTTCATATACGTTCTTGGCAGATGATCCAGAAGTGGTTTGCCATTCCCTTCTTCTGTGTGTGAATGGAGTAATTGTTGGGATGCAACGGAGGAAAAAGGATCCTTCCATCTTTTTCTCGGACTGGGACCTGTTCATATACGTTCTTGGCAGATGATCCAGAAGTGGTTTGCCATTGCCTTCTTCTGTGTGTGAATGGAGTAATTGTTGGGATGCCACGGAGGAAAACTCCGTGTTGCCTAGACCACGGCCTTGCCCAACACAAGTTATAAATTCGGGCACCGCCGGGAATATATTTCTTACGTCGTTCTTGACGGGAAATTTGCTATTATTATAATACTTAATACCGCCATGACTCGGTTTCCAGAGCCTCGTTTGTTATAATGGTACGGTTGGAATGAAAGTAGGGCGTGTTTTACACCGCGTGCCCTGCTTTGGACACCCCTGTTATGTGTGGAGCCGCATGTAACGTGTTTTTTCCTCCGGGCCGAGTCGTTACGGAAGTCTCGTCTCCTTTCAAAGCGACGGAATGCCAAGGGGCTGACATGTGTGTAAAGCTTGTGGTCAGAACGCTGCGTTGTAGGGGCTACTGTTTCCACAGAACTGCGTGTATGAGTGCTTTTAGTGTGTCTGTCAGTCAGAAACTATTGCGTAGATTTAGATTAAATTTGGTATTGGGTGGTCGTCACTAAAAGTTGCTGAACCAGATTTTCGGATCACATTTGGCGTGCGTTTTATTGGTCTCGTGAGTGGGAAATGCACATCGCATTTTTCTTTTATGTGTTTTATATTTATTTTTAATAACTTCTGTGTTTCGTCAGGATGACTCGTGTTGCAAGAAATGCAGTTTCTGCTGAAGTGAATCACGTCACATCCGGTAGTAAGATGGTCGGTATATTTCGACTGTTACGTCACACGCCGCTGAAAATTACATTTTGAGCTGGAGGGATATTCTTTAAATGAAACCTGACACGTAATTAGGACGAATAAGTGAATATCGTAATTTATTTGCTGAAATACCACGCCTCTGAATATTTCAAAATAATCTGCATGTGTTTCGTGTTCTTTAGGTAATCCTGGGAATAAATAGAAAGTTAAAAATAAGTCCTGAAGATGGTCGTTTTCTGTGATGTCGGGCCGTTTCTTTTGTCAGAAGGTTACGGAGGTTTCGGAGGTATTAACAGGTTTATCATCAAGCCGTAAACAGCTTTAACCAGTTGATCTTTGTAATGGTGAAGTGTGGTGTTTTCTTTGAGGTACGGACTGAAAAAAAGGTACGAGGATGAACTTGACTCTGGGTCGTGTTTAATGGCGGACTGTTATATTAGCGATGGTGGAATCTTGTAGCTGACCTATTTAATAATTAAGATGTTTCATTGCGATGGTGGAATCTTGTAGCTGACCTACTTAATAATTAACATGTTTTATGATTTCCTCATGAGGATAATATTAAATGGAATATTAAAGAAATAGGATCTGAGGTGTGAATTGGATTCATCTGGCTCAGGATAGAAACGGCTATATTTGACATTGGAATTAATGTTCGTCTTTCATCAGACAGATAATTTCTTGACTAGCTGAGAAAATTATTAGCTTTTCGAGAATGACTCTGCTCTGCAGGAACTACAAGCGAACGATGACGGTCAAGGAATTGGAAACATAAAGTGAAACGAGAAATGTCGGAAGACAGATGACTTTGAATATTCACATTGTCTGCTCCGTGCGTTTCAGTCCCTTATTGTCGTGTCGTAATAATTTGACATCCGCTCCCCCAGTCCTCACCCCCATGATGACGTGTATTGCCTCCGGGTTCCCCGCCGTCTCTAGCACGCAACAATGTTCTTTGCTGGGTAATCGATTACGTCATACGATAACCTGATCCCCCATTGAAGCCTGGTTCACATTGACACGTATTTGTCAGTGCTCTGTTCTTTGACAGGTCTTATGTTAAGGGACGTTTCTCGGAACAACTGAAATCGCTTTTTGGTTATGAAATTCATTCCCGTTTAGCGTTATTCATCAGTCCATACTTACAGTCAGTGTTGGTGTTCTCAAGGCTCCTGGTTGAATTCTCGGGCCAATTGCCAACTGTCTCAAGTGAAATATTTCTCAGACATTCCAGGCACACGCTGATATAGTATTATGAAATAGGCCACGGCAGTTTTATTTCAAATTCCTCCCATTCTGTCGTGTACAATATTCCCAAATCCCAGGTCTATGTAATATAAACTGTTGATAAACTGTAACCGACATTTTAGACAAGGCTCGACTACCGCCTGTGACTTCTATGGAAACGAATGGGACTCACCCACCTGAAGAAGGGAGCAGTTGTGGTTTCCGAAACACCATGTTATTTCTACAGCCCTAGGCGACGGACAAATCACAGAGACCCAGCTATACTGATTTCCATGCATCATTGTCAGAACTCTTGAATTGGTGCCTTCGTAATTTTTCGCCCATTATTTTACATTGCATTGTGTTTTTAATTTTATCTTTATTATGTATTTCTTCCTCAATGAAATTTCCATTATTCTGCTGTATTTTATGTCTTCTATATATTTTTATCTCCTTTTATTTCCACCATTGTTTTGTATTCTTTCATTTGTCTCGTTATTCTTTGCTCATAAAATTTGTGTTGCTTTTTCTAATTACTATATTATTTAATATTTTATATTTTTAACTTGTAATTTTTCCTTTTCTTTCTTATATTTCATTTCCTTTTCCTCCATTGTCGTGTTTCTTGTCTGTCTCTCTTGTTAGGTCTGCGGACATCTTCATTTCCTGACTTCACTTCTACTTTTTAATCGTACCGTCAGATATCTCTGAAATCTGTGACCACCGCCTTCTTGTAACAAACAATGCTTCAATAGCGAGCGACAGGGCGCGTTCACAAACTCTGCATACGATCCAACATGCAGACCGCAGCTCCGTTTCATACGAGACAGCGACATTAGACAGAAATTAAAACGTCAGTCATCAGTCACGACCAGATTACAGAAACGCACACAGGGAGTTTCGAAAAGTGAGGACCGGACAAGGCAGATGACAGCCTTGCAGCCTTGCAAACGTTCTTCGTGTTTCGGTGTGTCACTTAGCAATCCGAAATTAGCAATGCACTGCAGAACAGACGCCTTCAAAACAATAAATCCACAACGAAGCCCACTTTTCGTCTTGAAACGTTTAAGGCCGTGGTCTAGGCAACACGGAGTTTTCCTCCGTGGCATCCCAACAATTACTCCATTCACACACAGAAGAAGGCAATGGCAAACCACTTCTGGATCATCTGCCAAGAACGTATATGAACAGGTCCCAGTCCGAGAAAAGGATGGAAGGATCCTGTTCATATAGACCTGTCCTCAGACAGAACACTAAATAAAATAATAAAATAATAATAAATAACTCGAATGGTCGTTGACCGTGTTCACAAAACCCCGACAAATTCCTGTACCCTAAGACAAATTAGTTCAAGCCACACGCTCACTTCATGTTGCTATAATATTAATTTAAATATTATATTCTAAACGATATTAAGTGGCCTCCTCCTCCTCGGATTTCCTATTGACACGCGTATGCATTTTTCGCATCAGCCTGCGTGCTATGTGTCCCGCCTGCCATTTGTTTAATAAGCCTAATAATAATGGGTTAACAGTAGACATTACGAAGTTCCTCGCTTTGTAATGTTCTCTATTCTGTTGTATTAGTACGCGTAGCAAGTCCAAGTTTCCTTTAACGAATAGCAAATTTCCTTCATGCGAAGTATCTTTTAAAAACCCCCTACTCTAAGAAATAAGTTCTGATACATTTTCTCTTTGCAACAGCTGGCAGTTTTGTTTCTAGTGGAAGAAGGCTTGTCGGAATAACAAATTTCTCGCAACGCGTTGTTTCGAGCCAAAGATCTCCGGGAAGATTATGGACGGGATTAAAGAACAGATTTAAGCAAACAGACTTTAGAAACGAGTTCCAGATTACGGTATTATTACGAGAGTTTTTCTACCAGTATTTTCACAAATCCATTTTTCAGAACAGATTCAGAAATGTCGTCATCGCGATGAAGAATTCATTTCCGCAAGAGCATCCCAAGTACAGTTGTCATCACATAAATTGAAATATGGCGTTCGGCTAGCCAAGGTTCTGTGACAGAAATAACGAAATTTTTATCTTACAATGCTTCAAAACTAGGAAGGCCTCCCCCCCCCACCTCCCTTCAGAACCCTTATAACAGAGTTGCATGTGTCTGCTCTCATCTTGACTCAAACACACACGAATCAGCATCTTTTCGTGAAATCTCTTTGTGAACATCCTGCCACGCGTCTCCAAATGGTTAATGCTGTTTGAGGAAATAATCAGTTATTTATTTTAATCCGTCTGATCACAATATAATTTTT